GAACCCTTAACAAATCAAAAGAACGCAGTGAAGATTAATAGGAATTAATAGGACTCCTATGAAAAATAAGATTCGTTTAACAAGAATTAGTAGGAATCCTACTAAATGAATATGAGCCTAAACCAATAGGAATTCCTTTCAAACGAATGAGACCTCCATCCGGTACGGATTCTTAGTTCCTGGGTTACCTCTTATTGAAATCCTTTTTGAAATATATTGAATTTCAATAAGGGCGGTACTAGGAACTAAGAATCCTGTGTTTCTATTTTAAGACCCTTATTGAAATATTGAATTTGAATAAGGGCTGTACTAGGAACTAAGAACTCAGACCAAGAGTCCCTGGCAGTCTTAGTTCTTAGTTCTTGGTTCCGCCCTTATTGAAATTCAATATTTCAATAAGGGTTTCCATAATGACCACCCGTATTGAAGTTCAATACTTCAAGAAGGGTTTCAATAATGCCAACCCTTATTGAAATTCAATATTTCAATAAGGGTTTCAATAATGACCACCCTTGTTGATTCAATATTTCAATAAGGGTTTCAAAAATGCTAACCCTTCTGGACATTCAATATTTCAATAAGGGTTTTAAAATAGAAACACATAGGTTTAACAGACAACAAAAGAAAAACATACAACAACAGAGCAAAACATCAAAGGCATTAAACAAAGCAAAAAAGTATAGATCTTTGGGGAGGGGGGGTACCATATATCTCTATTGTTTGTTAACGTGTCTGGCTACTGTGTGCAGCTATGCTGTCCGTCGCGCCCTCAGCCCTTTTTTTGCTTCCGGGGGTCTGTCGAGGGGGGGGGGGGGTGAGCATATATATATATATATACAGTAGTAAAGATTCCAGCACGCATGAATCTGCGGGCGGCAAACACATTTGGCATAGATGCGTGTTTTGTTGGCTTGCCCAGAACGGGACTGTGACGGACGCTGCGGTGAGTGCGTCCGTCAGTCACTGCCTGCCAGCATAAGCCTCGAAACTCCTGCCACCTAAACGTGTACATATTATGTATACACATGAACACATGAAGAAAGAAATAAACAGATAACTAAAAACACGTAAATTTTTAAAAAAAATATATGTATGTATACATACATACATATGATGTTTTCCTGAGGCCACTTGAGGGATTTGTCGTGTTTTGAAGGGAGTGTTTTAAAGAGTGAACACATGGACTCAGATGAAACAAAAGGCCTCCCGCCAGCTCCCGCCGCCCCAGCGCAGCGTGGGCCCTCTGCAGCCTCTCGGACCGAGAGAAGTTGGGCAAAGCCCCCCATACTTGACCCGTTTAGGGCTTAGGGTTCAAGGCTTATGGGGTTTAGGGTTTGGGGTTTGGGGTTCAGAGACCCATACTTGTATATACAATATCGATAGCAAAGATTACATTGGCTTATTTTTGAATACTATACAAGAAATGCTATTGCAATCTCGAATGAAGGGTCTGCACATGATTGAACGGTTCCTTCTGCGGGGGAGATGTTTTCGGACGAGTCTGTGGAGTTCACCTGGCTGCGTGGGTGCAGCTGGTATTCTGTCAGAGAACCTAGTGGAATCCAAACGTGTCCTTCACCGCCGGCCGGCGCCAACAGTTCGCGCAGGCAGTGTGCCTGCCAGAGGTCCTGTTGCGTACAGATGGCCGTGCAGTAGGGCACTGGGGACTCTGTATGCGCATCATTATGCATTCTGATACTGGAAACAAGGAAGCGAAGGCAACAGAATGGGTGGGACATCCGAAGGTGTGGCCTCGGAGCCCGCGAAGGCCCTCAGCAGTGGGGAGGCGGCCCCGCAGCGCGCGAGGCTCCGGGGATCCAGGAGCCGGAGGAGGGCCCTGGGTCTTTTGAGGGCCCTTGGGTTTAGACTTTAGGGTTGAGTAGGGTTTAGGATCTATAAAATCTACCTCAAAACGGCCATCTCCCCTTCCATACCCTCTGCGCCTTGGATGCAGATGTCCCTCTGCACTCAGGCACAGAGTATGTCAATACAGAATTGCGAAGCTCTAGGAACAGAGGCACTGTTTCAAGATAGCATGCAGGGCAGTTTCGTCAAAACAACACACAGTGCTCAGTTTTTCAGTTTTACAGTTTCACTTGGTTTGAAGCTTTCCAGGCAGCATAGAGAGCCAAGCTGCAACAGCAGCTCATCACCCACGCGACGCAACCTTGGATGCTGCGAGCCATTTCTGCCGTTCCATAGGCTGCCTGCGCTACACCGGAGCCCCCTTTCACTTGTCCGGGCACGGGGGGAAGTTCTTCGGAAGGGAGGAAAACTGAGAGCATATTTGGGGTTTAACGAAAATAGGGGACCCCTACAATAGACCGCTAAATAGTAGGATTCGCTGGTATGTAGGTGCCCGCCAACCCTACCTCTGAGGGCGGCACATGGCAACGGAATGAACCAAGAACCACAAGCCAACAAAATACCCCCCCCCCCCAATTTTGGAAACCCCGGCATATTTAACAGTTCCCGATGCCACGTGGCGCACCGAGGCCAGAGATGCGACGAGATGCGGCGCCCGCATCCACGAGGGCATTGCCTAAGGGGTAGACACCTGGTACGGGCGCTTACTGTGCAATTCTTGAAGAAGCTGGGTATGATGCTACATGTTTCTTCCCAACCCTTATTCTGAAACAAAAATAGGCCCTACAAATTTGCAGCTCCCTGAATCCCGGAATCGGGCCCGAAGGCATTTTGACCAGAAACCTCCCCGAAAAAAAACAGCGCCCCCCCACTGCTCCCCTCAAGGGCACCGAGGGGGTGGACCGCCCGAAGCCGCCGTGAAGTTTCCATTGGAAGCCGCAGAGCCACGCTAAGAGAGAGGGGCGAGGGCTCCGGTTTATAAGAGATGCCGAGATGTGTGGAGAAAGGATTGGGGGGAAAGTCGTTGAGGGCTTAGAGTTCTTGGAGTTCTCACCTTTTGAATTTACGGGTTGCGTAGATGGCTACGACAGAGTCATAAACAAATCCGCGGCTGTGACCTCATGGCTTCAGATGAGTGGGCGCATCTGTCAATGTGCGATGCCGTCTGCTCTTCACAGCCTCCGCTTGGAAGTCGGAAGCCCCACGGTGCCAAAATGCCCATCGTTGTGAAGTGGAGGGTTGGCATGCTGCATCAATTCAGCGGCGCAAATAGCGCAACCTTGATCCAGGCCCATACAATGCATCCGATAACTTTGGTTCAGAAACTGATCACAAGCCCCCTCTAACCCAAGAGGCAATAGCCCGTGTGCTCCAGCTTGGCGCTTAAGGTTTATAGAGTTTGTATAGGGTTCTCAAGCCTCCAGGCAACACACTAAACCCTCAGCATTGGGGGGGGGGGGGGGTAAACCTTATGACCCTAAACCCTGGGGGAGGGTTCTTTTCAAGTCGACGAGCAGGCGTCTCTCCGTCGCGGATTCCGAGGATCACGGAAGCCGGGGCGCGTCTTCGGTGTGCTCGGTGCTCCTGTTGACCTTGGCTTCGCTTCAGCGGGAACCTCGATCCACTTCGCAGGAGTGAAGGAAGGGGGGAAGCCCTACGCACCCTTTGAACCCTCGACCCTCGAACCTTTCTAAGCTTTCCACCATGAAGGCCCATCAAAATCCCAAGAAGGGCATCCTCTAATGTTGAATACTGCCCCCCCCCCCCCCCTTATTCTAGGGAAAAGAACAGTGCTTAAGGCACATTTGGGGGCAAGAGGGGGATTCCACCATGACTGAACCGGCTTGCCACTCGCCAAGCTCACCCTTTTGAGGCCAGGAACCTCCGAGAGATTCAACGTTTCTGCGTTCCTCCCGCGCGAAGTTTGAAGGCTCCGCCAACGTCCTGGCATGGCAGGGCTCTGGGGTACATTTGGGGGTTTGCTAACATAGGGGACCCATAAGATGGATCCCCAAATAGCAGGATCGTCTTGTAATAAGGACCCCAATAACTCGTAAACCTCCATCTCAGCTAGATGTAGGTGCCCTTTTGTTGTCACCAGCCAGAGGAGGGAGCCTAAAAACCCGACCTAGCCCCGCCATAAAGCTGAGGGGGGCCCTTCATGCCCCCTTGCAAAAGCGAATCTGGGTTCAAGGTCTCCTTGGCTGGCCAGATGTCCTCGTCGGTGCCTATCCTTGGTTTTGTTAAGGGGCTGGGCTCTTGAACAGCTCGAAAGCTGCAAAGATACTAGCTCAGACACGACTCTAATATAATAGTATAGGCACTTGAAGGCTTCCTGAAGCCTGAAGGTCCCAAAAAACCCCCTCCACTCCCCCACATTCCACCGAAGCCCACCCCCAAGCCAAACCAGGTCGCCAGAGCCCGTCTTCCTCTTCTTCATGGCCTTCTTCTTCATGGCTTTCGGCCTCGGCTCCAAGATTATTGCCATTCAGGCTGTGTTTTGAGGGCTGCGGGGGGGAGCCGGGGGGGGGGGAGCCGGGGCTTATCTGAGGAGGTATAATATAGAGTAGGAGGTATAGAGTAGGTCCCTGGGTTGTCGTTGCTGCCTTCCGGGGGTTCTTGTCACTGAAGTTCGAACACACCGGGATGTGAGTCACGCTGACCTTGGGAACAGGGCAGATCCATTCTGGGCATCCCTGCCGGGCATCCTGCCCCTCTGCGATGCTTGCTTCGGCTTTTCTTTTCTTTGGCCTGGGTCCAAAGCGTTTTCGAGGCGTCTGGCTCTAGAAGGTTTATGCAGAGAAAGGCTTTGACGTGAATGATCTACGCCTCGAAGTCAAGATGCCACAACTGCGAGACCCAGAAGAAGCTCTCGACTGCACTGCAGGGTTATTGAGGGCACATGGAGAGCATGATCTCACAGCCCTGGTGCATGCTGAGGAACTTTTCTGTCCGCAGCTGCTGTGCAGCGTCCAATCCTTTTCTGGCCTGTCCTGACCAAACGATGGCAAGAAAAAAAGGTGTGTCGCATGGCCTCTCAGGAATGTCAGGAACGGTGGGACTCGAAGTCCATGGACCGAGGCTGCCCGTGGCAACGTCTGAAGACTCGCATCTCTTCTCGTCTTCTCGGGGCTTCAGAAGACCGTTCCGTTTTTGGAGGCACGTGGGCACCATTGCGCGTAGCTGAAGTAATCCGCGACCGAGCCGACCGAGAAGCCTCCAAAGTCATTGCACAGCCACCGAGTCGTCCAGCAACACCGGGGCTGCTTGGCCCCCCATTGCCCGTGATACCAGAAAGGCCGGTCCGACCGTTCGTGCTTATACTGTTGGCACTGCAACTTCTGCTGCTCCACCTCCTCGGCGGAAGACGTGAACTCAAACTTTGTGCAGCAGCATTCGGCATTAAAGGGGTCCACGGATGGTCGCAGGCCCTCCGCGGACAATCCGAACATGAGGGCCAAGCACCCGGCAAACTGCATTGCCTTGCTTGCGATGCCCATGGATGCGGAATTTCACAGAAACACGTGACGATGGCAGCGCTGCAGAATCTATGCTTGATGCAAGCGGCTGGCACAAGCCGGCTGACAACCTTTTGTGGCATCCCGAAGCCTTGCGACAGTTCGAGTTCGGCAGTCACATCAAACATCTATTCCTTGGAGCTACAGATAAGCAACAAGTAGAATGCCACAATTGCAACAAGCACGGTGGTTCATAACGATCCGGCAAAACGTACCTGGAGACCGGAGACCGTTTACACATTTCTGGAAAAGGTCAGCTGACTAGGTACTTCTGGCAAGGGCGTCTCAACAACATCTCTTGAGTGAGGCGCGCACGCGTGTAGGGAAGGGGGAAGGTGGCACGACCGGGGGGAGGGGGGCGAGTGTGTTGCGAGTGTGTTGTCCGTGCACGGGCTCAGGAAGACCATGAAGCCAGCTCGACACTCTGCAAGATCCCATATTCCAAAGCTGCCTGTGCAAGTCGTACGTCTTACGCCCCTATACCCATTCTCTTCGTGTGCAGCATGCTCTCCCTCATCTCAGACCACGACACGACAAACTCGTCCCGCTCAAGCCCGGACCCGCTGAGCGCCAAGCTGAGACGTGGGCTTGGGCAAGGCCTCCCGATCCACGCCTGTCTTGTGGCTTTGCGGAGCTTCGGGCCTATGAATTAGCCTCAGGAGAAATCTTCGGGAGTATGGCAAGAGTTCTGGGGAGAGTTGTGTCCTTGTGCTGCGTTGAGGGCTGAACATCTCAGCTCCACACGTTCGCCATCATCCTCCTCCTGCGGCACTGCTGCCATTTGAAGCTGTTTCTTGCGTTGGACTGGGAATCAAGTTCCTCTCCCCACCCCTCCCCCTCCCCGCGCCCTCTGCCGTCCCTCTCCCACACGCGCAACCAAAGCTGCAGCCTTCTTTGCGCGAATCTGGGATGCTGGATACAGAGGAAAAACTCAACATGTTAGCCAAGTTAGTTGGTATCGCCAAGCAAAATGAGAAGAGCACAATCATATTTCATAAAGGCTTAAACAGAGATCTGGGTTGATCTCCTTGCCACGAGTCCTGGGTTCTCTGCAAGACCAGAGCGCAAAACCTCTCGCCCGGTGTATAGCAGTTTCTCAGTATGTGCTTTTGAACTCTTCCGTTCTGGACCAGCGTGTCTGTCTAGAGGCAACTTTTGGATGCAGCCCACTGCCAAGCCAGCATGAATAGCGCAATACTACAACTTCAATGTCCTGTCGTATGTCCGCCATCGATGTCGTCTCTGTTGAACGCTGCAATGTCTTAGCAATGTCCACAGCACCTTTGCTTGTGTTCCTACTTGTGGTCGTTGGTCAAACCACCGTCCTCGGTGTCCACCACAGCAGGATGGCGCACGACACCCACACCTCCCCGAATCCAGGTATTGCTTGTCACCCTCTGTGACGGACGGCATGGGTTCCGCAACACGTGTTGGCCGCCTGAATGATGTTGCATGGCGGGTCGCATGTGCTTCTCCCAGATCTTGCCTGGCAGTTTCAAGACCATAACATGCGGCATTATGCGACTCATCGCTACTTCAATCAATGCACAGAGGCTCAAGTGCTGTGGGACTTCGGGCTCGAACTTGCACCCACAACCAGCAGAACACACCCTCTAAAAAAGCACGGTCGACTCTTCAGCGCATACAGGCGCAGCGCAATGCGGGCATCCATGACCTCGGGAGATTCAGGGACCCATGAAACCCTCCCTAGAAACCCACCCCCACCCTTTGGGACCTGCCAACCCCCGCACCCGGAACGCCACATCCCCGCATTTGTTGGGTCAGTTTGGCTGCCGAGGCGGCACGCGCATGGCGGGCTAACTGGGGATTTTGCCCCTATGGAGAAAGAACTATGCCCAAGGCAACGCCAGCTGTTTAGGGATGCTCAGGAGTGCTCAGGGCTGGGTGTGATGGTTGACATGGTCGGTGAGCTTTTCTGAATCAATAGATCCAATCGCCCTCTTTTCTGTGAGCACCAAAGACTGAAACCAAAAAACACGCCCTTCTGTGGAGTTGGTGCTTGGCTCTTCCCTTTTACACACGTTTCCATCCGTCAACCCGGCAATGGGGTCTCGCAATGTCTGAAAGCCGGAGCCCTCGAATCAGAAACGGCCAAGGAGACCTCCTGCGCTCTAGACAGACCTAGATGCCATCCGAAAGGCTTGCGTATATATTGAAAAATAACCGAGCCCCCAGAGAACGCAAAACCGCACAAACAAGCCCGAAGCCCGGCAAAACAGACCTCAAACTTCCAATCCTCAAACCGTGGCCCTTGCGGAGTCGTGAGTGCCATCCTGGATCGTCTCCTTCTGCTGCGAGCGGTTGAGATGCAGGGGGTTTCGGGCTGCGGTGGGCGAACCGGTAAAGCACGATGAGCCGCTGATATCGCACAAGCTTGCGGAGCCAAAGACGTATCGATTGCAAGAATGCCCTCTACAGTAGGGCTCGTATGGAAATTGGGGGCATAGTGCCTCAAGGTTTTAGGCTGCAGGGCTACAGAGTTCAGGGGCTTATAGGGTCTTAGTGCTCTGAGGGTTGCGAGCTGAAGAGATGACAGCCACGAGGATGGTGGGGATCTTTATGTTTTAGGGTGCAAATGAGGCTGGGGGATTCTTCAGACAAGTGGTTTGGGTTCTCAATGAATGAGAAAGGTGCACACAATCCGCTTCAGCGCTCGGGACTGTTTTATGCAGGATCCATCTGAATCATCAGCATCGTGAAACTCGGTGTTTGACTTGAGCCAAACATAATCGTTATTACCTCGTCTGCTACACTTCTTGTGAGCACAAGGTTTGACATGCATGTCTTGAGTTCTCACCGCCATCAACATCCCCCTAGCAGTCGAGGGAAGATGGGCGGCTACCGCACAGGAAGCAACGATCACCAAGAAGAGGAGGGAACTCAGCTCAGCCAACGGTACTCAAGGCCAGACAGCTCGGCGAATTCCTCTTCTCCAGTTGCTTCCCACCGAAGTTTCACCAGTCCCGTGGCTGTTTGCGAAACGACTTTGGCTTTGTGGGATTTCCCAGTCTTGTCGAAGACTTCAATTTTCAAGTCGTGGGTGCTCACAGGGGTCTCCAAACCACATAAGTCAAAAGGAATTAGGCGGTTGATGTGGATCGGCTGACCCATGCCAATGTCAGTACTGCGTGTGTCCGGATGACACAGAATGACAGTTTCAGGGCTCACGAGCTTCACAACTTGAAACAAGCGAGGGTCGGCGTTCGGCAGGAGCCGTTTACTGATCCTATCAGTACTTTCAGACTGCAACGCTATGGGGGGCCTGCGAACAAATACGAAGTCACCTACTGCAGGAACAGCGCTGCTGCACTCAGAAGCTCGTTTCTGAAAGTCACTCTGTTTACGCTCGAAAGCTGCCTGGGCTCCGGCAGCGACGGACGCATGAATGCTCTGAAGATGATCTCTCAAGCTCTGGACATATTGTGTAGGGTCAGTGACAGCTGCAGCTCCGACTTTAGCGAACAATGCATCAAGAGGACCTTGAGGAATCATGCCTGTGACAAGTTCATACGGAGACTTGTTTCCCTTGTCTGGCTGGGGCGTTGAACGAATGCACCACTGAGCCAGCTTGGCCCACCGACTCCAGCCTGATGGATGCTTCGCAGCAAATGCTGCCAAGATGTTATTGACTCGCTTGTGGCTCCCTTCAATGTGTCCCTGGCTTTCAGGGTGAAATGCAGTTCCGAAGGCCTGGGTAACTCCAAGCAAATTGTTTACTGCACTCACAACGGCACCAGTGTAGCTTGCACCGCGGTCTGATCGCAGCACTGCCGGGAACCCACAAACATCAAAAAACACATCTTCAACAAGAAAACTTGCCACCGTCTCAGCTGTGTCGTTAGAGGTAGCCTTGACCCAAGTGTATCCCGTGAATGGACATGAAGCATGAACAAGCCATGAGTTGCCTCTGTCTACAGGCGAGATGGGACCTAAGCTGTCTACAAACAACACTCGAAACGGTCTATCATGAAGCTGCGTGCGTTGCTCTGCAGTAAGACCCCGTTGTGGTTTCGTGAGCTTGCAAACAGAACATGTCTTCACCCACTTACGCACATCATCAGTCATAGACGGCCACCACACTCTCGCCTTGAGTTTGGCAAGTGTGTCTTCGCGCGAGCTGTGCCCGCCCATCATTTCTGAATCATGATACAACAGCAGCAACGTCTTCCGCAGGCTTAGCTTGTACTGCCTTCCATTGTACCAAAAACTACGCATGCCACCAGCAGGAATGACAGCTCTTAGGCCAAAGACCTGTTCAACTTCGCTAAATACGTTCCGAAATAAAATGCCATCAAACAGAAAGTCACCTGCTTGTCTGACCGCCAATGCTGCTCGGCGTGCAGCAACCTTTTTGTCTAGCTTGTAAGTTTGCAGGATTTTCTGTTTGATTTCCGCAAAGAGCTCCTCGGGCCCATACGCTTTGGCCTGTTGCAAGACTTCTCTGGCAATGACGATGTCGCAAAAGTCGGAATCAAGGCAGAGCAAGCGCGTGAGTTCTAGTCTCTCGAAGCCTACGCTCGCGATTCCCTTCAACGCTTGCTCGACGCTAGGGTCCTTACGCAGGGCCTCCGAAATAGCAGAAACATCAGGAGCATCAGTCGCATCATGAGCAGAGCTCTTCTTATGCGTGACGCCCAACGTAGTCTCAGGGTCGTACCAGCCTATGGCGGCGCCAGAGCGGACGCTTGTAAGCCTACGTTCTCCAACCGGACTCAAATTGAACAAACCATCCGCAGACACCTGGGGCCGGCTGCTACAATCCCCCACGTTACCTAGCACTCCCAGCCCTGAGGATTTCAATGTTTCGCTAGCGACATACAGATTTGAAGCATCTTGTGCGGCAGCAAGCAGCGTCTCACATATAGCAAAACACAGCGACCTAGGATAGGGAGAGCACTGTCGGGTATGCGATCCCGAGAGTCGTTCGGGGTGGGCACCTACGTGATCACAAGTGCGTCCTA